CGGTTTGCTGTCGCTCTGACAGCCTCTTGTAATATGTTGTTACTGATGACAAAATGGAGGTCAAGTTCAATATTGACGATTTTTTACGTTAACCGTTCAGGAGATATGGTTCTTGAAAGATTGAAAAGTTGTGTTTCCAGTCGTGTCCGTGCTTTTACTCATGAACCGTTCAACCAAAGCTTTTCAAATTTAATATGTTGTTACTGATGACAAAATGGAGGCCAAGTTCAATATTGACGATTTTCACTTTCACCGTTCAGGAGTTATGGTTCTTGAAAGATTGAAAAATAGTGTTTCCAGTCGTGTCCGTACATTTACTTATAAACCGTTCGACCAAAGCTTTTCAAATTTTAATATGTTGTTACTGATGACAAAATGGAGGTCAAGTTCAATATTGACGATTTTCACTTTCACCGTTCATGAGTTATGGTTCTTGAAAAGATTGAAAAATGGTGTTTCCAGTCGTGTCCGTGCTGTAACTCATGAACCGTTCAACCAAAGATTTTCAAATTTTAATATGTTGTTATTGATGACAAAATGGGGGTCAAGTTTAATATTGACGATTTTCACTTTCACCGTTCAGGAGTTATGGTTCTTGAAAGATTGGAAAATGGTGTTTCCAGTCGTGTCCGTACATTTACTCATGAACCGTTCAACCAAAGATTTTCAAATTTTAATATGTTGTTACTGATGACAATATGGAGGTCAAGTTCAATAGTGACGATTTTCACTTTCACCGTTCAGGAATTATGGTTCTTGAAAGATTAAAAAATGGTGTTTCCAGTCGTGTCCGTGCTTTAACCCATGAACCATTCAACCAAAGCTTTTTAAATTTTAATATGTTGTGACTGATGACAAAATGGAGGTCAAGATTGATATTGATGATTTTCACTTTTACCGTCCATATTAAGGTTCAAAGGGTCCAAAATTAAACTTTGTTTGATTTCTTCAAAAATTGAATTATTGGTGTTCTTTGAAATTCTGAATCTAATCATGTGTTTATATTTTTAATTTTGGGGCCTGTTTTCAAATTGGTCCACATTCAGGTCCAAAGGGTCCAAAATTAAACTATGTTTGAATTTGAAAAATAAATATGGATTGTGTCCACAGATGATGCCCCAGCTTGCATATTATATAGTTATAAAGGGACATAGCTGAAGAACGGTGAAAGTGACGCTACCAAAATTATAACTTGATCTGAGTTTTATGGTAATAAGCATTGTGTGTAAGTCTCATAATATTTGGTTGAGGCAAACTTAAGTTAGAGAACGGAAACTAAATATTTTGCAATTTTTCCATTTATAAAGGGGTATTACTCTAGAACGGTTTGAGTGACGCCACCAAAATTCAAACTTGATCTGTATTTTGTAGTAACCAGCATTGTGTATAAGTTTCACAACATTTGGTTGAGGCAAACTTAAGTTAGAGAACGGAAACTAAAATTTTAGCAATTTTTCCATTATAAAGGGGCATAACTCTAGAACTATTTAAGTGACGCCACCTAAATTCTAACTTGATCTGTGTTTAATGATAATAAGCATTGTATATAAGTTTCATAACATTTGGTTGAGGCAAACTTAAGTTAGAGAACGGAAACTGAAAATTTGGCAATTTTTCCATTTATAAAGGGCATAACTCTAGAACGGTTAAAGTGACACCACCAAAATTCAAACTTGATTTGTGTTTTGTGGTAATAAGCATTGTGTATATGTTTCACAACATTTGGTTGAGACAAACTCAAGTTAGAGAACGGAAACCAATTTTGGGACGTACGTACGAATGTACAGACGGACAAGGGTAAAACTTAATGCCCCCTCCGCTACAGCGGGGGCATTAAAATGAATGGTTTGGGTACTTTGATGTGCTGAATCTAAGCAGATATTTAATTGATTATAATTTGAAAGTAGATATAACATCATATTTAATTTTAGAGAACTATTTGTATATCATTTATTCAGTTTGAGTTATTTCCCATTGAACAGAAAATTAAAAAGTATATAGATAAGATTAAACTGTTTCATTTCAACATAAATTAAATATATATAGGGTTCTTTCAAATGCTGAATTTAAACCTGTATTTAAATATTGGATTTTTGGGCCCAGTTTTCAAGTTAGTCCAAATCAGGGTCCACTGTTAAACTTTGTTTGATTTCAACAAAAATTGAATTGATGGTGTTCTTTGAAATGCTGAATCTAACCATGTATTTAGAGATTTTGGGCTCCTTTATCAAATTGGTCCACATTGAGATCCAAAGGGTCCTTAATTAAACTTTTGTTTTATTTCATCAAAAATTTAATTCTTGGGGTTCTTTGATATGCTGATTCTAACAATGTACTTAGATTTTGGATATTGAACCATAATAGGTAAATGTCCAATTTCAAATTTTTCAGTTCTTTGACCACATTCATTATGTGTCACAAACCTATGTTGTGTCAAATATTAAATCACAATCCAAATTCAGAGCTGTTTTAAGCTTAATTGTTGTGTCCGTTCTTGCTCAACTGTTCAGGGTTCGACCTCTGCAGGAAAATCCGGTTTGCTGTCACTCTGACAGCCTCTTGTTGGTTATTATCTTGAATGTTATAATAGATAGAGATAAACTGTAAACAACAAAAATGTTCAGCAAAATAAGATCTACAAATAAGTTATATGACCAAAATTGTCAATTGACCCCTTAAGGAGTTATTGCCCTTTAAAGTCAATTTTTCACAATTTTTTTGTAAATTTTTGTAATCTTTAAAAATCTTCTCCTGAAATTACTGGGCCAAGTTAAACCATACTTGGCCTAAATCTTTCTTAGGGTATCTAGTTTTAAAAATGTATCCAATGCTTACGCCCACCTACCAAGATGGTCGCCATGGCTAAACATTGAACCTAGAGGTAAAATGCAGTTTTTGGCTTATATCTCTGAAGCATTTAGAGGAAATCTAACGGGGTTAAAATGTTCATCAGGTCACATGATCAAAATTGTCAGTTGACTCCTTCAGAAGTTATGGCCCTTTAAAGTCAATTTTTCACTATTTTTCGTATTCGTTTTTAATCTTTTACAAAAATCTTGTCCTCTTAATCTACTTGGCCAAATGGAAATAAACTTAGCCACAATGATTATTAGAGTATCTTGATTGAAAAATGTATCCGATGACCCTGCCCTACAACCATTACGGTCTCCATTGGTAAAAATTGAACATAGGGGTTTACTATAGAAGTCTATGGTCTATGGAAAAATGTTAAAAAAAAAACAATTTCAAATGGTCACAACTTGAAAACTAATTTAAACAATGATAAGGGGTCTTTAGTAACTATTGTAAGACTACAATGGGATGACTTGATTTTTTTTCCAGGGGGTGCAATTTTTCAGGGGGGGGGGGGGGGGTGCTAATAATTTCTCCATTTTCAGAATTATTCAGTGTTACTTTTTCTATAAACGATTATTATATCTTTTCATTCAGCATACTTATATTTGGTGAATGCCCCCCAAACCCGGCGGGTTAGTCGGGGTCAGGGGAACCCCTGCAAATTTTTTTTTTTGAAGGTTGTACCATAAAAACATTTAAAGGCATTTTCAGCATTATACAGGCCCTGGGTGAAATAAATTTTGAAGTGGAAGAAAGAGAATTTTTTATTTTTTGTTGATCATCTTGAATATCATTATAGATTGAGATATACTGTAAACAGCAAAAATATCAAGCAAAGAAAGATCTACAAATAAGTTAACAATGACCAATTGGCAATTGACATCTTATTGGAGTTATTGTCCTTTCAATTCATTTTCTGCAATTTATTGGTAATTTTTGTAAATCTTTTAAAAAAACTGTTGCTTTTGAATTAACTTCTTTCGGCCAAATTAAACCAAACTTGGCCTCAATCATTATTAAGGTATCTATATGATTTTAACCTTATTTTACATGATTTCCAAAGCCACAGTAGATACAGATGAGCGACACAGGCAATTGAGAGCCTCTAGTTTACTTTCTTTTAGAAGCTAAACAATGTTTTAAGTAAGATATAAGCCTCTAGCAGTTCTTTCTGTTATCAGCTTATATCCTTTACTTATATTTTTCACATGTTTTAAGATATTATGCAAAAATTTGAAAATTAGTCTAAAACATCATTTTAGGGAAACTCCTATAATTAGTCATCTGGTAATGTTGGTGCAAACAGAAAGTACATGTACATGTAGATTTTGACTTTCTCAGCACTTATAAACTGTCAGATTTTTTTTATCTATTACAATTTTTAAGTTATAAGACAATAAATGCATTTTAGCCATATGTTCTTTTTTTAGCCATGGCGTTTATGTTTGTTGATTTACTGGGGGAAAACACAATTTTCATACTAGATACCCTAAGGATCATTCACTTAAAGTTTAGTTGGAATTGGTTCAGTTGTTACAGAGAAGATCTTTGAAAATTGCCAACAACAGACGCCAAGTGTTGACAATAGCTCACATGGCCCTAAGAATTGATAAAATTTATTTAGTGACATAATGAGTCGACTGACATTCTCAGACATCTTGACTAATTTTAGATCTTATGTTACTGATCATTTTTGCATTTAGAGTTTTTCTGTATTTAAATAATAATTTTCAAGAAATTAGACAAAAACAAAAATTGTTGGTAAAAATAGTCATTTATGGACAATAACTCATTTAAAGCGTGGACATTATATTTGATAACTGCATCAAACTTAATAGTTTTTAGACAAGAAAAAAAAAAAGAGTTCCATGTACCCTTCATTTTGTAGGTATAATTTTCGTCAGAATTTTTTTAGAAAGATGATAGACTGATCAATGACGCTTTTATTACTCATCTCTGAATGTATAAGGTCATCAAACTTATTAGTATCCACAGTGTAGTAATACATGTTTAAAAGATTAATTTTTATCTTACTGCATTATTCGTGAAAAGTTGTTTATGCGAGAATTTCAGCTTTAATCATAAGAAAATTTTCAGCTTTTAGAAATATTAGGTATATTATACTGGAATGGTTTTTTTCTCAGAAATCTGGAGGCAAATTACCTGCTGGACTTAGAGAAATTGATGAAGAAGCTGGACCAGCAAAGAAAAAACGTAAAGTTGTAAACAGGGTAGTCCGACCAACATTAGCTGATCGATCTAGAGGTGTCAATTCTTCTTCTATCACAAAGGTATGGCCAGACTGGTTATCTTTTACATATAAGATGAATAAAGTATTATTTTCAATGATGGATCCAAGATTTTGATAAAAAGGACGGAGCAGTATTTAAGTTCACCTAGCCTCAAAGGCCATAATTTAAGGTTTTGCCATCACGTAGCGTCCATCATCTTTGTAGTCAGTCTGTCTGTCCATCCATCATTGTAAACCTTTTAAAATATCGTCTTTTCTGAAACTACTAGACCAAATGTTGCCAAACTTTACCTGAATGGTTCTTATGATAAATTGTGTCCAAGGATTTGATCAACCAACAAATATTGCCGCTGCTGCTAAAGATTGATCACAGGAGTAAAATGCATTTTTGGCTTTTAGTTCAAGAACTAAAATAGTTAGAACAAATCTGACTGGGTAGAGTTGATCAGCAGTCAAAGTTTCCTGTGTAATTTCAGAAAAATTGGACACTTTTTATTTGAGTTATTGCCCCTGAAATATCATTTTTTGGCAAATTTCTCAGTTTTGGTTATTATCTTGAAAACTATTAACAGATAGAGAGCAATTTTAAACAGTAAAAGTTACCAGAGCAATAAGATCTTCAAACAAGTCAACTTGGCAGAAATCTTCAAATGACTGTTAATTGATTTATTGCCACTTAATGATGATTTTTACCCTTTTTGCATCTTTTTTAGGAAATCAAAGTTGAGAAAAAGAATCTTTCAATGGTAAAAATGTTTGATCAATATATGATCTACAAATAACTCAAAATGGACTAATAGTACATTGACCTGTTATAAAAGTTATTGCTCTTGAAAGATTAATTTTACTCATTTTCTGTGCTTTTGCAGAGTCTATAGGTTGCACTTTGTAAATATAGCTGTTTCACAAACCACACCTCTTTTGGGGAGATATATAATATTCATAGAGATTTTGTTTTGTTTACGTACTTACTACTAGCTCCCAGATATGATCGCTATGTTTTATCTCATTGAGACATAACTTGGGTATGTTACCAGTATAAAAACACATGGTAGCGGCGAAAATTAAATTCTGAGGAAAACCCAAAGTGAAGGTAGGGGTACTACATAATTTTAGTATTACTTTAAACTCTTAGAAGTTCGGGGCATATAAATGTTGAAAATATGCCGCACAGCCCTATGTTTTGACTTTTGAATAAAATAGAAGTGCATATAAACTTTCCATTCTAGGATATAATTTTTTATGCAACTTCATAGTAAAAGTGGCACAGTTTTATCCGCAAAGGGAGTTCCTGGGGGGGAATTGCATTGTCTCTGTTCACAGAGGTGCAACATATAATAGGTAGAGAAGAAGCAAAAGTGTTTTGCTAAAAGGATCTGCAATACATCAAAATTGATGAAATTGTCTACTGATTCCTTATAGAAGTTTTTTCCCCTAAATAATGATTTTTATCCATTTTTTTTGCATTTTTGTCAAAAACTTTAATATACTAGTATAGAGAGAAACTTTTAAAAGCAAAATAAGACTTACAACTAAGTCAACATGGCCAAATTGTCGCACTAGTAACATGATGTGTTTTATCTCAAAAACTTTAATAGATAGGTATTTACTGTAAACAGTAAAAATTATCATCAATAAATGATCTTCAAAAATGCCACTAATTAAGATCTACAAATACGCAAACATAGCCAATTGCAATAAAGGAAAAAGATAAATATCAAAATGGGCATATTCATTACCAGGTGAGCGATTCAGAATATTGTGAGCTTCTTACTTGCATTTTTGCCTATCATCTCAAATGTATAAAAGATAGATTACAACTTTAAGTAGTGAAAATGATCAACAAGACAAGTTCATCAAATAAGTCAACATTTACAGAATCTATTGTAGCATAAGAGAAACTTCAAATAAACAGAAATGATGAGCAAGACAATATTAACAATAAGTCACATAGCTGAAATTGTCACAATCTCCGGCGCAGATATCATATCTGTTCCGTTCAATACTTCGTAACACTACACTCAATATGACCTCTGCCATACCTTTTTTTGCGTACTTTTCTCTTCCCAATCATATTAAGTGCAGTATTGCGGAGCATGTATGGAACGGATATGAACTCTGCGCCGGAGATTGAAATTGTCACTCCACTCCTTATAGGATTTTTTTGTCTTAAAATGATGATTTTTATACGCCCGTTTACGGGACGTTTTATGGTACACCGTTTACCGTCTGTCCGTCTGTCCGTCTGTCCGTCGTCAACATGTCGGACATTAACTCAAAAACGCTTTAACCAATATGCATGAAACTTTGGTGAATTGTTTATATCCATTGACGTGAGCTCCCTTCCCGGGCTCCCTTTCGTTTTTTTATAAATTTCAGATTTACCGTTTCCGAGTTTTGGGGTTTTATTCATTAAAAAAGGGGGGATTTTCCAGTTTGTGGACAATAACTCAAAAACAATTTCACCAATTTGCAAGAAACTTTGGTGAATTGTTTATTTCTATCGACATGAGCTCCCTTTTGATTTTTATAAATTTTAGACAATACGTTTCCGATTTATGGGGTTTTATTCATTACAAAAAGGGGGATTTTCCAGTTTTTGGAAAATAACTCAAAAATGCTTTCAGCATTTTTTATGAAACTTTGGTGAATTGTTTATATCTATTCAGTATTGATGTAAGCTCCCTTCAGAATTTTATAAATTTTAGATTTTACATTTCCGAGTTATGGGGTTTTATTCATTAAAATAGGTGGGATTTTCCAGTTTTTTAACCAATAACTCAATTTCACCAATTTGCAAGAAACTTTGGTGAATTGTCTATTTCTATCGACATGAGCTCCCTTTTGATTTTTTTAAATTTTAGACTATACGTTTCCGATTTATGGGTTTTTATTCATTACAAAAAGGGGGATTTTCCAGTTTTCGGACAATAACTCAAAAATGCTTCAGCATTTTTTATGAAACTTTGGTGAATTGTTTATATCTATTGTTGTAAGCTCCCTTTTGATTTTTATAAATTTAAGATTTTACGTTTCCGAGTTATAAGATTTTATTCATAAAAAAGGGTTGATTTTCAAGTTTTTGGACAATATCCTTAAATTGCTTAGAGTAGTTTTCATTAAACTTTGATGACTGATTTATATCTATTAAGATAACCTCCCTTTAGTTATTTATAAATTTCTTATATAACATTGAGAAGTTATTGTTTGTTTATAGTCTGACAACAGATTTACTAAGTATTGCGCAACAGCACAGTGTATTGCACAACAGCAAGAAATCTTTAATTGAATATAAATTCAATTCATCTAACCAATTTCAAGTTCTTTGACTACATTTATTCAGAAACCTATAATATGTCAAATATTTAATTACAATCTTAATTCAGACTTGTATCAAGCTTGAATATTGTGTCCATTTTTGCCCCAACTGTTCAGGATTGGACCTCTGCGGGCGTATCCAGCTTTGCTCAGCGAAGCAGTTTATTTAAAATGTTGTGGTTTCTGGATAATTAATGACGATCCCCGTTATGAAATTCACTTTAATTTCAGTGGAATCTTTTGAATCACTCAGCTTGGTTTGAATTTTTGTTGATTTCAATTTTACTATTCCTGAGTTATTGGACTTGATATTTTGGAAAATTTCAAAATTTGTGGTTTCTGGATTAACGGAGAACCCCATTATAAAAATAATTGACATTTTTAATTGAATGTTTTGGACAGCTAAGCACATATTATGCTTGATTTTCATCGTTTTCAATTATACCATTTCAGAGTTATGGTTTTTGTTGGTTTTTTTTTAATCTAAATTTTGTGGTTTCTGGATGACATGTTCGATATCCTTCGTATTCAGGACCACTTAAAACAGATCAAAACTTGATTTTCATTGTTTTCACTTTTACTTTTCCACAGCTATGGTTCTTGATTTTTGGAAAAAATTCTAACTTTGGTGGTTTCTTGATGACAAATTTTAGTTTTGTAGTTTTCACTTTTACCATTAAAAGGCATTCCAGAGTTCATTGATACTTAATTGTTTGAAAAAATTCATAATTTTGTGTTTATCAAATAATAAATGGAGAACTACTTGTTGAAATTGATTGAAATTAAATGGAATGGTTTGGACCACTAAACAAAATCTTGATATCTTAGTTGCTGTGGGTGTCTATATCTTTACACATTTATTACAGTTTTTATACCATCGCAGGTCGTATTATGTTATGGTGGTGTCTGCGTCTGAAGACATTTTGGTTCGCAGACAATAAATTGAGTATAAGTGCATGGATCTCTATAACATTTTAGCACAAGGTTCCATACCACTAAAGGATGGTTGGGTTGTTTTTGGGGTTTTGTTATTAGGGGCCAAAAAGTGTCAGTTTTACTGGTTCATGGAAAATAAATTGGTTCGCAGTTATTAACTTTAGTGCAAGTGTATGGATGTGTAAGAAAATTTAGTACAAGGTTCCATTCCACAATAGGAGGGTTGGGGTTGATTTTGGGGGGTATTATACCCCCGCTTTAGAAAAGTGGGGGTATACTGTTTTACCTCTGTCTGTCCTTCCGTCAGTCCATCCGTCAGTCCATCCGTCAGTCAGTCCGTCCGTCCCATGAATATTTTTGTCGCATTTTTCTCAGGAACTACTTGACAAGGATTTCTAAAATTTGGTTTCAGGGTTTATATAAGTAAGTTACACCGTGTGATGCGTTTTTAGATTCATCACTCAACAACTTCCTGTTTACCGAACACTTGTATTATTTTACACATGATAGCCAAGTTGAAAATTTTCGTCACATTTTTCTCAGGAACAATTTGACAAGGATTTCTGAAACTTGATTTCAGGGTTTATAAAGGTCAGCTATACTGTGTGGTGGGTTTTCAGATTCATCACTCAACAACTTCCTGTTTACCGAAATATTTCGGAGGGGGTATCATTAGTGAGCAGTAGCTCACAGTTTTACTTGTTGTCCTAGCGGTTTTTGTCGAGCCTGCGACTTTTTTCGCAGAAAGCTCGACATGGGGATAGTGATCCGGCAGCGGCGGCGGCT